TGGCTGGGGATGAACTCCTAAGGTCCGGAAGCAGAAATCGTCTTCTTATGCTAAGTCAGTTCCCAGGTCGCAAGACCATTTGAGTTGGTACCTTGATATGGGCCACTGGTCTGGTTGGGTCACTTAGTCCACCAGAACACAGGGCCTGGAAGATGTCTCAAAGACCAGGCTTAGGTTTCACAAGGGCGATGTTATCTATGGAGCAAGGAAGGAAGCTACGAATCTTCGTGACCATCAGCCATGTGACTCCTGAGTAGTGAGCAGGCGTAGGAAAGCAAGCGAGGGAACCATGGCTGGTTACATACGCACTTTAACTGTGCCTGTCCCTTTGCAGAGCTCGGGCCCCTACCACGGCTCTCACCTTACGGCCTTTTACTAATTTTATAAAGGGCAGGTTCGAAACCCGGGCTCAACCCCAGGCTCTGCTCCTCGCTGACCTCTCGCTAATCCCAGCCTGCCCTTGTTCCCAGACTCCTCTGGCCACAGGGCAGGGCCAGGGCAGCTCTCGGCCAGCAAAAGTTCTCTTTGGGACTAGCTCTCGGCTTCTCGGGGCTGGGTTGAGCACACACCGATTTCCTAACGTGGCCGAGGGGCGGTAGTTCTCTGAGTGTCGGAGGCCACTGGGTATTTGGCAACTGCCAACTGCCAACTGCCCACTGCCCTTCTTCCTGTGTTGCTTTTCTTCCTGTGGTGGCCGTCCCTCGGAAGGGAGGAGGCCAGGCCTGTCGAGAGCCAACGTTGGGACACAGACGAAGCTCTTCCGTTTTGGAGAAAAAGAGGGCAGAGAAACGCCTTCCTTCCCACCACCCCCGGGAGAGCAGCTCTGCTTTCTGTTTTCCTTTCCCTCAGCCTACAGCTCATCCAGAAACTGCCCTTTGTGCAGAGCTGAGTCCTTCAATCTCAAAGCCACCCTACTGCCATCAGCCCAGGTGCTGAGTGGGCCACCTCCTCCTGGAAGCCCTGGGGGACTGCCAGGCCAAGCTGAGCTTGTCCTACTTCAGTCTCCAAACACTCAAGGTCTGGAACTTATGCTCTGGGTTCTGACTCCTCTTTCATCTGTTCACTGTTGGATATATCTCGTATATCCAATAATAATAACAACAGCGACCTGCCCGCACCCTACTCTCCCTGGAGGCTAGCATCCTTCCAGACCAGATTACTCCAAGGACCCTTTTATGAGACCAGAAGTTGGGAAGAAGGCAGACACTCTTTTTAGCACAGGAAGGCAGAGCAGACGGTCTCTCCAGAGTTTATGTCGTGGTGCAGAATGTCCGATCGTCTTTTAGATACCGCACCTTGAGGCCAGATCTCCCCTCCCTTTCGCCCCCCAGGATCCACCAGTAGCCCCTCGGACCCCAGGATCAAAGAAAGGCAACATACAGTGGACACCGGATGCCCCAAGGAAGCGGGACCCTGGCGGGGGAGGGGGGAAAGGCTGGAGGATGAAGGGGCTGAGGGGGAGGGAGAGGTTTCCAGGGCCCCCGCTGACCACAGGGGTGGTCCCGGGTTAAACCTGAGCATCTGGATCTATGGAAAATCCTGTGCCTGAGGAGGGAGGGTGGGGACAATGAGGAAACTGAGGTTCAGCAAGTTTAAGCGACAAGCCCACAGACACACAGCGAGTAAGCGGCAGAGCTGGGTTGCAGCCCGGGTACACGAGGTTCAAGGCCACACCAAGCTTTCTTGCTGTGCTGCCAGGGGCTCGCTGAAGGCAGGGAGTGGCTGTTTGTCCCCCAGCACCTGGCAAAGTGAACCGTGGATTCTTCTCTCTTTGCACCCAACCCAAACCCAGAGGCCAGAGGAGCAAGAGCTCAGTCTGCAGTGCCTGTCATGTGTTCCTGGAGGCTCCAGGGCTCTCTAGCCAGCTAGTGATGAAGGGTGAATTATGACTATTTCCTGAGCATCCCATACAAATTGATTCATTTCATCCTCAGAACACCCCCCAAGATAGGCACTGTTTCCCCATCTTTAAATGAGGAAGCCAGATTTCAAAGGGTCAAGGAACTTGATCAGACTCACGCAGAGGAGGTAGCACGGCTAGGCTCCTAAACGCAGGTCTGCCTGGCTCTAAACCCAATGAACTTTCTTCTGGAAAAAAGTCAACAGCTTAAGAGCATGGAAATGGACAGAACCAGCCCCTGAATTAACCATGCCTTGTCCACTGCATCTGTGAATTCATACTGCGTTAACATATTTTCCTCGTGATTTAAGCCATGTTGAATCGGGATGGCTGGAGAGTTTTGGGGGATGATAGAAGTCTTCTGTATTCTTATTGTGGTCTTCTATATCCTGATCATGGTTACACATATCTATCCATGTAGCAAAACTCATAGAACTCAAAGAAATTATATGAAACAAATATGGCATAATGTTAATGTTTTATAAACCTAGGTAATCAATTCTTGTCTATATGCTTGAAATATTTTATAATAATTTTAGGGAAAAAAAGTGGAAGCAGGAGGAGGAAGAAGAGGAGGATACATAGGAAGAAGCCTGTTTAGATGTGATGGCTGGAGCTGCCGCAGCCACCTTGTCACCATGAAAGAAGTCAGTGTGAGGGCAAATCTGAGACACTGGGATGGCAGAGAGAAGAGAGGGAAAGATTATCCTGTAGATATCTGTTAGCTACTGAATCTACCAGAATCTCACACCTGTCCTTCCTCTCGACCTCCTCTCTGAGATGATAAATTTGTTTATTGTTGAAGTGAACATGAGTTGGGGGTTTCTGACACTTAACTGAAGACACTGTGACTAATGCAAGATAGAGGGTCAGATCTGAAGCAGGGGGGCACTTCCATGGCCAGCGGCAGTGCTGAAAAGGAGGATAGAGAGTCACCAGTGGGCTCATCTGGATTTGTCTTGGCAAGAGCCATCAAGGGAAGGGGGTGACTTGTTCAGAAACTCGCCAACTGGTTTTAAGATTCCAATTTTACGGCAATGTTAAGTCATCATCATGTGATTTCATCTTAATGCTCCTTTCCTAACTGACACCCTCACAGATATGACATCTGTCTGTGCCTGGGGGGACTCAGGAACTGTGGGCAGTTAAGAGCTGGAGGTGTTCAAAAATGTGCGAGATAATTTTTCAAAAATCTAATTTTACAACAGGTCATCAATCTGCATTGGCTGCTACTTAGAGCTATCTTGCATGTACAGATGCAGACATCTGAGTCTGGGGGTGCAAGTTGCTTGAAGGAAGGTAGAGCTAGGGTGAGGGTCCAGGGTGACAAGACTTCCTGGCAACTGCCCCGGTAGCGGAAAAGTCTTCTCTCCAAAAAAGGCACAATGACCATGACAGTGATGTGATTGCTCTGTGACTCAGTGTCCTCATCTCCAAAACAGAGAAGAACCATCCCTCCCTCTTAGGTTGTTCTTAGGCATGGAAATAACACATGTAATGCATCTGGCATGTAGTAGGTGCTCTGCATGCTGTTCGCATTCTTAAGCAAGCCAGAAGGATTCCAGTTGGGAGCAGAAAGGAAGACCCTTTCAGAACCAAATGAAAAGACAAAAAAACCCTCAGAAGGTCCCATGTCCTCGAGGCTCAGCGGGCTTCATTAGACTTTCATAAAATCAGAGTCGGAGAGACAAGGCTCCAGGGGGTTGATGGGGACCCAGCGGGAGAGGAGTCCGCTGCTTCCTCCGCAGCCCTGCCCCTCCTCTCATCACCATGGAGACCAGGCAGGCTGCCCGGCGGGGTTCCCACCCACCCAAGGCCTGAGGCTGCTGCAGAAGGAGGGACAGGGGCCTGAGCACACAGGGACCTGTCTGGAAAGCTGGGGTGGCGTTTGGGCGTGTCTGCGTCCCCCAAGGCACTGAAGGACTCGAGCTGGTGTGGGGTGGTCTGGTGGGCTGTGCTTCGATCCCGGCTCTGCTGGCAGCTCGCTGGGTGATTGTGGGAAGAGTACTCCTCCCTGCAAAGCCTCAAGTTCTACATCTGTCAAAGGAAGGGGTGAAAATGTATCAAAACAGAATCTTGGTTAAGAAGACTGTGGGATGCGGAAGCAATGACATATTCAATCCTGGGGGAGAACGTCACTACGTATCATTTATTGAAAAGAGGGAACTTTACAGAACTGACCAGTGTGATCCCGTATTTGTTTGTTAAAAGAGAAACAAACACGGACTAACTACTCTTACCAACAAAATGTAGAGAGGGAGAGAAATACTCTAAAATACAGATCGGCTTGTCTCTGGAAGAGGGGATTACGTGTATAGTTTTTATTCTCTTGTTTCTTTCTCACATTTTGGCCAATGAACGTGGATTACTTTTGAAATCAGTGTAACGTTAATAGCTGCGTTCGATGCAGGGTCATTGTGCTAAATGCTTTGCAGGGTTTAAAGCCTGCTCCCTCTGTCTTCACAGTCCCAGGGAGGGGAAGTACAATTCTTTTCCCCACTCTGCAGAAGAGGAAACTGAGGTTCAGAGAGATTAAGGGGCTTGCCTAAGGTCAGACCACTAGAGAGTGGCAGAGCTAAGATTTAAAGATGCAGTTGAGATACTAGACTCCAAAATTCAAGCATTTCAATCATCACCCCTACATCCTCTCAGGACAAGGAAATGCTAAAGGTTCTGTTTTCCCAAATGTTTTACTGTGCAAGACCAAAGAAATCAAAAGTAGAAAAGTATAATGAACCCTCATGTACCCACCACCCAGCTTCAAGTCCTCACACGGGGGACTTTTGGTGGGGGCTTAGATATGGGGGTGCTTAGGGAGCGGACCAACCTACACACACACACATGCATGCGCACACACACGCATGCATACACTTACATGCATACACTTGCATGCATACACACACGTGAGGCTTCCAGGCTCCACTTCCGGCTGCCTCGGGGCCCCAGCCATGACGGAGAGCCGCAGCTGCCCTCCCCCTCTCCCGCCCCACCCAGGTTCCTTCCTCCTTTCCACATTGTACTGACTTGCATTTCCCCAGCCGGCTCCTTTATAGGTCCCCGGTTCCCCTCCAAGGCCTTGAGGTTTTGGCAGCTCTGGAGGATGAGGGAGGACATGGCCAGGGGCCCTGACAACTCGCCGAGACGGGCGCTCCTGGCGGTGCTTGCCGCCGTGGGCACAGCCATGACAGCAGCCATCAGCCCTGGTGCCGTGGCCAGGATCTCCCAGAAAGGCCTGGACTATGGTAATTGGATGCCTTCCTTCCCTCCTCTCCCATCTCCCGAAGAGCACTTATTGAGCACCTACTGTGTGCAGCCCTTTAGATCCAGTACCTGGCACACTCACTGCTCTCCAAAATACGTCCCCTTACCCCTGTTTTACAGTGAGACAAGTGAGTTGCCAAAGATCACAGGGCTGGGAAGTGGCAGAGTGCAGGTCTAGAGGACTCCAAGCCCAGTGCTCAGGCCCCTGAGGGTCCTCGTGGCCCCCTCCTTCCCTCTACCCAATGCCCACCTCGGGCTTCTAGGCCCTTCTCTCCAAAACGGGTTCTCAACCTTGCCACCTGCCTCTAGATGCTGAGGAGGCCGGGGGAGTGTGGGGAGGGCACTCCTTCGTGCTCTCCCCAGTGCAGGGGCTGGTAGCCATACTGTGCGCAGTACTCTACTGGGTGATCCAGAGAGGGTCCCCCCAGACCACTCATCCAGGCCCAGACAGAGGAGAGAGTGGCACAGAACAGCCCCTGCTGACCTGCTCCGACCTGCGCCAGGCGCTGCGCTAGGAGCTTTACACACGTGATCTCATTTGTCTTCACTGCAACCCTGGATGGGACATACTGCCGCTGTCTACAGGGCAGGCCCGATTTGAGCTCTGATCTTGACCGACTCCCAACATGGGGCTGCTCGACGCTGCCTCCTGGTGGCAGAGAGATGACCTGCAGGACAGTGGGTGATCCCCAGCCCCAGAGAAACAGACCGAGGGGAAGGCAGGTCCTCACCAGCTAGTGTACAGCTAGTGTACCCCTGGGGAACAGGACAGGACTCCGGGGGACCTGGGATTCCACCCCTGAATTCCTGGCCCAGCCCAGGCAGGACATCTCTGAATCCCGGAGTGCAGACAGAGGCCCCACATGAGCTAGGAGAAAGCAGTATGTCCCTGCTCCAAACCCAGAGCTGGGTGGCCCTGAAGGCTTCCTGGGAGCAGAGGCTCAGAACCTTCATGCTCTGTCACAGCAGCCTCAGTTTCCCCTTTTCCTTGTGCCTCACGTGGCAGAGTGGGTTTTCTGAAAGGCAGCAAATCTGTCCCCCCTGCGACCCCTCCCCCACTCACACTATCAGTGGCTCCCTCGTGCCTTCAAAAGTTGTCCCGACCCTTGGCATGGCATTCGAGACCCTTCGAGGCCTGGCCCCGCTGACTTACAGATCCTGGCCACCCCACGTTTTTCTTCCCTGCCAGGCAGTGACCACGAACCCCTGGAAGGCCTACCCCAGGGCATGGGCTCTGGGATCAGAAGGCCTGGGTTCAAATCCCACCTCCACCACTTGTTAGCTATGTGGCCCTGAGCAGGGCACCTCGCCTTTCTAAGCCTTGGCTTCCTCATCTGTGAAACGTGGGTAGTGACAAGGCCTATTTCCTAGGGTTGTTCCAATGCAACAACTTAATACATGTGCACAGCATAGAACAATGCCTGGCACAGAGTGAGAGCTTGAAAAAATTTATTGTCATTGTTATTTCCTAACTGGCTCTTGGAAAACACAAAGCCTGGGCTCTGTCATCTTTCTTCCTATTCCTTCTCAAGTAATGTGTTTGACTTCTAATGGGTTCTTTTTTTTTTTTTTCTTTCTCTGTTGCCTGGGGTAGCGGGCCAGAGCGTCATCCCAGCTCACAGCAACCTCAGACTCCTGGGCTCAAGCAGTCCTTCTGCCTCAGCCTCCCGAGTAGCTGGGACTACAGGCATGTGCCACCAAGCCCGGCTAATTTTTTCTATATATTTTTAGTTGTCCGATTAATTTCTTTCTATTTTTAGTAGAGACGGGGTCTCGCTCTTGCTCAGGCTGGTTTCGAACTCCTGAGCTCAAACAATCCGTCCGCCTCGGCCTCCCAGAGTGCTAGGATTACAGGCGTGAGCCACCGCACCCGGCCCTAATGGGTTCTTTAACACTGCTAGCCACGTAACAACTGATGGTAGAATTCCTGCCGTTGAGGCATTCATTTATTATTTATCCAACAAATATTAAATGCCTTCTAAGCGCCAGGAATGACGGTAACTGCAGGGGACACAGTAGCAAATAAAACTGACATTGCTGCTGACCGTGGGGTGGGGTGGGGGCTTCCCTCTAGTACGGGAGGGAGACATTCATCAGAGTCATGTGACTAAACATGTAATGTGACAAATGGTGATGTGGGCTCCAAAGTGGGCTTCCACAGCATCTCGAGAATGATAATGAGGAGGCCTGCTCTAGTCTACTGTGCCAGGGAAGGGTCCCGGAGGAAGTGACGATCGAGCTGACCGGAAGTTGACCAGGTGAATGTGGGAGGGAAGAGTTTCCCTGGCAGCAGACTAGCATATGCAAAGGTCCTGTGGTAAGAGTCCCAAAACCAGGGTGGTGAGGTGTCTGTGGGGACATACCACAGAGCAAGCAACAAAGTGAGTGTTCAATAAATACTTGCAGGACGCATGCTTGGGTGTTTGGGGGATGAATTTTTCAGAACAGGGGTCAGTAAATTACAGCCCATAGGCCAAATCTGGCCTGTCATATGGCCTATGAGCTAGGAATGGGTTTTATACCTTTAAATGATCGAACAGAATCAAAAGAAGAATAATATTGCACATGTGAAAAATTACATGAAGTTCAAATTTCAGTGTCCATAAATAACATATTATTGGAATATAGGCACGTTCACTTGCTTACATATTGTCTGTGGCTGCTTTTGTGCAGTGACAAAGACGGTATGACCCGCAGAGCTCTGGCTTTTTTATAGGAAACCTTAACTGACCCGTGTCTTGGACCCGTCCAGTCCCACCGTCTGTGCCATGGACAGGGCCACGCGTCCAAGCCTGCCCTGCCCTGCCGGCCCAGGCTCACGGCTGTGCCTCTGACGGTCACCTGTGCTCTCCCCTCAGCCTGCCAGGAGGGAACGGCCGTGCTGCGGAAGGAACTGGAGAAGATCGAGATTCCAGATTACTCAAGAAAGTTTAAAATCAAGCCTTTGGGGAAAGGGAATTATAGCTTCTACAGGTAAGGCCTGTCAGAGCTCAGTCCTCAACATACAGAACTGCCGTGTTCTGGGGCCACCAAGACCTAGAACGGCAGAGCCACGAACTCCTTAACTCGCACACTTTAGGAGCCCAGAGTCAGTGTCTACGCCATCCCATGGGGCTCTCAGCCCCCACGCTGAGCCTGGAGGAAGCCACGAAAACCGTCTTTCTGGCACCCACCATGACTCCCAAGCAATATGTCACGAACCCCAAAACTCTACGCCAGGCCCATGTATCAGTTAGAATTTGGGGGGTTTCAAGGACAGAAAACTGAATCCTAAATGGCCTAAAGCCGAATGTATTGGCTCCCTCTGACTTCGGGTTCAGCTTGAGGCAGGCTCAAATGTCACTGGGCCCTGTTTCTCTCTTGCCACCTCTCAGCGTCACCTTCTTGGACAGGCCTAATTTTCAGGCAAAGTGTCCCCTCCAGAGGCAAGAGGGCCACCGGCCTTGATCTCAGCACTCTCCATCTGTGGAAGGACCGCACCTTCTCCTGGCAACTCCAGCGAGAGCCCTAAGATTCACTGCTATTGGCCCATCTTAGGTTACACACGCGCTCCTGAGCCATCGCCGTGGCCAGGGGAACAGACATTAGCGGCTCAGCCTAAGTCACAAGCTCCACCCCCTGAAGATAGAGGGGAGGTCAAATTTCTCTGGAGTGGCATGGAACAGATGTGGGGAGGGGCTCCCCAAAATAAAATAGCAGTTCTGGCATCACAAGAAGGAGGTGTGAGTGCTGGGCAGAACACCCATAAAAGTCTTCTACAGAATTTTTTACGACCATTCATTCGACAGATGTTCTGAGCACCTTCTGTGCGTTGGACACAACAGGCTCTGGAGCTACAAGTGAAAAAAGACAGACACATCCCACCCCTATACAGAGTTTACAGTCCAGGAGATAACCTTTGCCATCTTCACAGATCATCACACACCTTGCAAGATAGAGATTATTGTGTCCATTTTACAGATGAGGAAACTGGGCTCAGGGTAATTAAATGATATGCCCCGGGTAACACAATAGTATATTGAAAAACAGGATTCAAATGCAGATTTGTCTGACTTCAAGGCCCAAGCCACGCCAGTGCCCACATGTTTGCCAAGGCAGCTGTTATAACTTTGGGCTCCTAGAATGTATGGGTGAGGGCCTGGGTGGGGTGGGGGGGACGAGTCTGTATTAACCGAGCCCTCCTGTGAGCGCCTGGGAAGCTGACTGAACATTTCTCCCTTGCAGCATGAACGTCCGTGGATTCCAGCTTCCCAGTCCCCAGATACCCCTGGTGCCCAATGTGGGCCTTAAACTCTTCATCGGCAATGCCAGTGTCAAGATAAGCGGAAAGTGGAAGGCACAAAAGAGTTTTATGTACGTTTCCATGCTTGGGGTTTGTTGGATGTCCTATTGCTGATACCTGGGAGGGATTAGAGCCAGGGTCTCAGAAATGCTCAGTTTTTGCCTTACCTGTCACCAGGTGTTGCCACGGGGTTCCTAGGGGAATTTTTCACATGAGAAGATTCAACATAACCCTTGGTTAAGAGCTGTGCATCTGTCCACATCTCAATGCAGGACACTGGCAAGGCTGTGTTGGTGGGCGTGGCTTAGGATGGAAGGCTAACCGGGACCTTTCGTGTATTCTTTGTATCGGTTAGCTATTGCTGTGTAACAAACCATCCCAAACTCCCACGGCTTCAAACAACAATCACATACGATCACTAATGATCACTTACGTATCTGAGTGTCAGCCGGGGTTCAGCCGTTCCAGGTTGTGCTCAGCAGGGAGGTTCGGCTGCACACATGCCTCCTCCTCCTCCTTGGACCAGTGGGCTGCCCAGAGCGTGTTGGTGCTGGTAGCAGAGGTGCAAAAAGGGACGGCAGGAGCATGCAGGTTCTCTGAAGGCCTGGGCTCAGAACTCATATGCCATCGGCCAAATCATGTCACGTAGCCAAGCCCAAAGTCAAGAGCAAGGAAACGCACTCTGCCCCCACGATAGGCAATGGCAAGGGTATGAGTGTGGGGAGGGGTGAAAATTGGGGTGAATCACCCAAACTATTACACAACTCTGAATCTTAATACAGTGACCTTGACAAATAGTAATAGTGGCTCAGTTGACCAATCTCTTTAGGAAAGTCTCCCTTGTGGGGAATCTAGGGAGAAAAGGGAAGAGCAGCCACCTGGGGTGAAGAGGGGTGTGTGCCTGCCCTCCCTGACAAGGGCTGCTGGCTTCGTCTGCTCCCCACAGTGGGATTGCTTAATCCTCTACCTGAGCCCTTTTATATCTACCGTTTCACCTACTGATCACACACACACAAAATAAGACTTCATCGCATTGTGGAAGAATTGACAAATTACATTCCTGTGTACCGTCTTAGCCAAAATGCATTGCATCCCCGAGGGAGGAATTATTAACCTTGTTCATTAATTAAGGGAGGTATTAATTAATTAAAGTCATTGGCTTCAAACACCCAGGCTTTTCGTAGCAAAGCTGAGATGCAAACCCTGGCGTCCAACTGCCGATTCAGAGTCTAGGTGACGGAACAGAAGCACAGAGATGGTAAGAAACATGCCCAAAGCCACACAGCAAGGGCAGTGCCTGAGGCAGTGGTTGAGAACAGGGTTCTGCCAGGCAGACGTGGGTTCAGACTGCAGGTTGGAAGCCTGACTGTGCCGCTCAACTGCTGTGTGACCTTGGGCAAGCTGCCTCCTCTCTCTGCACTCCACCTCCTCGCCCTGGCTTGGAGATAAAAGTGAAACCCGCCTTCCGGCGTTGGCCTGACATTTGAATGGCAGCAGGGTCTTAGAAAGGGCTTGCTCCCTGTCGTTGTGTTCCTTCAGCAAAACCAGCGGCAATTTTGACCTGACGGTAGAGGGCATCTCCATTGTGGCTGATCTGAAGATGGGCAGTGACCCCACGTCGGGCAAACCCACCTTCGCCTGCTCCAGCTGCAGGAGCCACGTCAGCAGCGTCGGCGTGCACATTTCGGGCAGCAAGCTGGGGTATGATCTCCTGGGGCTGTGGTCGGGAGGAGGGACCAGAGGAAGAACTCTCCTAATCAGCCCTGTATTCAGAAAACATCCGGGGTGCCACCTCCATGCCGGGCTTTGTTCAGAGGCCTCGGGAGTGGGACGGGGGCCGGGGACTACAGATGAAGCAGACACTGTCCCTGTCTCAGGGCATAATTTGTTCATTCAATACTCATTCGGCAGATTTTACTGGGCATCTCTGTGCCCAGGCTCACGCTAAGCACTTTATTATATTTCTCTAAGTTATATCCTCACCGCAAATCTGTAGGCATCATTTATCCATCCATCCAACAAATATCTGCTGAAAACCAGCCATGCACAGGCTGTGCGACACGCAGCGACCGATACACACTGAGTGACAGCTAGCGCCGGGCGGAGGCTTGCTATGTGCCGAGCACTGTGGTGAGCGCAGGCACAGCTCCTTCAAGTCACACAATGACTCTACGAGATTAGTAGTATGCCATTTCAAGGGGGAAAACCGAGGCACAGAGAGGAGAGGAGCTAACCTAAGCATTCATAGCGAGCGACTATTAAGCCGAGCCCACTTGACCCCAGGTCCAGCCACACAGCCCTGTCCTCTTAAAGCTTCCAGCCCACTGGGGAAGACAACCATGAACCAAACCATTGAACTAATGAATAGCTCACCCAGAATTATGAAAGGAGGCCGGGCGTGGTGGCTCACTCCTGTAGTCCTAGCACTCTGTGAGGCTGAGGCAGGAGGATGGCTTGAGCTCAGGAGTTCGAGACCAGCCTGACCAAGAGTGAGACCACATTTCTACTAAAAATAGAAAAAATTAGCCCAGTGTGGTGGCGAGGACCTGTAGTCCCAGCTCTTTGGGAGGCTGAGGCAGGAGGATCGCTTGAGCCCAGGAGTTTGAGGTTGCTGTGAGCTAGGCTGATGCCACAGCACTCTAGCCCAGGTGACAGAGTGAAAAAAAAAAAAAAAGAATTACAAAAGGAGGTAAGAACTGAGGAAATGAGGAACAAAGTGCTCTAAATGCATAGAACAGGAGGCTCTGACCCTGCCTGGGGGCAAGCCAATTCTTCCTTGATGAAATGACATTTGAATTGGGATGAAAAGAGTAAGTAGAAGTTAATGAGGTAGATGTTGGGGACAGGGGGTGTTTTAAGCAGAGGGAATAGCATGTGCAAAGGCACTGTGGTGGGAGGAAGCACAGGAAAGGGGATGTGGCAGGCCAGTGTGGCTGGTGTCCAGAGAGGGAGGGGGTGGTGAGGAATGAGACCGAGACCCAGACAGGGGCCCAGCTGTGCAGCTATTATGGACATGACCTTATAAGCAGGTCACCAAAACATGGGGAGATGTGTTTAACAGGGCGTGTGCAGTTGGAGCCCTGGGGTGAGGATGCCAAGGCCTATTTAGAGGAGGAAGGACAGCTTCCCAGATGAGGGCAATTCCTGAATCCAGCCCAGGGACATCTGGAAAGCCTCACATATGTCCCCACATGTCAACTTCCAGGTGGCTGATCCGACTCTTCCGCGAAAATATTGAATCTTCCATCAGAAACACCATTCAGGACGAGGTAGGAGGGCTGGGGCCGCGTCCCTCAGCAACCACACGCCTCCCACCTCACCGGGCACTTCCGCTCTGGCCCAGAGCGCTCAGCCATCCCCACAGCCCTTTGAAACCACAACTCCAGCTCTTAAAACCAGTCGCGTCTATTTAACCGAGGGGCCCACGAGAGAGCAAGAAAGAGTCACTCCTCCCACCGCCAGCAAACTTTCACCCCGCCTGCTCGGACCCCCTCTGCCCTCCCCTGGTCCTCCCCAATGAGGAGGTGCCACCTCTCCCTGCCCCCTCTCCTCCCACAGCTCTGCTGGCCTCGGAGCCTTGCTGGCTCCTTCTTCCTCCCCGACCCACCCCAGGCCCCTCCGTGGTGCTCTCTGCGTTGATAAAGCTGCAGGCCTGGACATGGGCCAAACCCCAGTCATAGCGTGTTCCTTGAGCCTGGAACTGGTACAAGAGACAGGCATGAGCCAATGCCCCCCAACCCTGCCCACACCCTCAAGTCCCCAAGCTAGCTTCTTCAGCTAAGAAAAGAGGTCATTCATTTAGCTAATTTTCCATTAATAAACCATGCGTTTCCATTGCCCTAGCTCAAAGGGCAAATGAACTTGGGCTTTCTCCAGGAGGCAATGGGGAGCCATTGAAGGTTTTAGGCAAGGGGTTGACCTGGCCAGATCTGTGCTTTAGAGCAATGTTGCTGACTGCTGTGGGAAGGACTGGAGGGGCCACGAGTGGCGGCGTGGAGACTGAGGAGGCGTACGCAGGCTTCTAGGTGGGAGACGTTGCTTTCCTGGTCAAAGACACTGAAAATGCTGTAGGGAGACGTCAATCAAGTGAGATCACCTCTCTCAAGATATGGTATCAAAAGTTTAAAAAGAGAAAAGTCAGTGCATGGTCATTAAGATTCATAACACAGTGGATTATAGAACGGGTTTCAGGGTCAGAATCCCTCGGTTTTGGTCCTGGCCTCAGGGCTTAACCAGCTGTGTAACCTTGAGCAAATGACTCCACCTTTCTGAACCTCAGTTTCACCATCTGTCAAATGGGGACGTGAAAACCTTCTCCTCCCAGGTGTTGTAAGGATTCAGGAAACGATGCAATGTGCCCACCCATAGCCCAGCTGTCCGTATAACAAGTCGCAGCATGAGGGGGGCTAAGATCTATTTAACATCTGGAACAGTGAAAACGATTATTTCTTAGTCCCCCTCAAGTGGCCCCTCTGTAGCAGCCAAGCTAGAAAATAATCATCCTGCTGCTGCTCCCACTGATGGTGAAGATGATGATGGTGGTGATGATGGTGAAGGTGATGATGGTGGTGGCCCACGTATGCCGAGGGCCAGAGATGTCATGATTATGCCCATTTCACAGATGAGTAAACTGAGACACAGAAAGAGAAAGTGGTAGTGTTGGGATTCGAATCCAGGCTACCCCACCTCAGAGGTGAAGTTCTTAATCCTGAGATCTTGTTTAGAAGAGAGCACTGGTCTGAAAGAATCAGTGAGGTGTCGCGATGCCAGGAGGGGCTGGAAACAGTGAAGGGGCGAGCTGGAAGGCCACGCCCACGGAGTACAGAGTGCGGGGCGGGTGTCTGAGTCTACACCAAGTGTGTGTTGGGGGAGGAGGGTGGCAGCCGGCCAGGCTCCCAGCTGGGCTGCCATGTGCGTGGTCTGGAGCCATCTGTTGGCCCTCAAGGGTCGGCAACGCTGGCAGCAATGCCTGGGGCGGCCCAGGGGTCCAGCTGGGGCCCACTGCCAGCTGTGCTGCCCTCTCACCCCTGGGCCACTGGGAGAAGAGGCACAGGTTCCTCGGAGGATGACGGTCCAGGTCTCGGGACTTCCAGAGCCTTATGTGACAGAAACACCTCCGGGGTAAACAGATTTTTTCCTTCCCTCCCTCATATCCTCTGTCCCTTCCTTTCCTCCCTCCCTCATTCTCTTCCTCCCTCCCTTTCTTCCTTCCCTCCCTCCCCGAGCCATTTCAGGTGCATGCATGGAGCCCACGCAGATGCTGCAGGGCGCCCACCCAATCCCTTCCTCCCTTCCTCCCTCCTTCCCCAGGTAAAGGAACTTGATTGACAGTAGGGAAGGAGGGGAGGGGGGTACGGAGGTGACCTCTGGTCAACCGTAAGCAGGAGTAAGACCCTGAGGAGTTCGTTTTGGGATGTGCAGCCTGGGGGACCTGGGGGACATCCAGGGACAGTTGTCCAGGAGGCGGCTGGACACCCAGCAGGCAGCGGGGCCCCCAGGCTGGAGCTCGGAGAAGTCTGGGCTGCAAGGCAAGGTCGGGGCGTTGGCCACATGCGGGGGAGCAGCGGAGGTGACTCTGTGTGGGCTCCGCAGGGCGACGCTGACGCTGGGTTTGGGTGCAAGCAGTTGACCCTGCGGGCCAGACAGCCGGAGGGTGGGGAGGGACAGGGAGGGGCGCTGTACTGTGCCTGCTGCTGTGAGCGCCCGGGGGCTCAGTGGGAGGAACCGCGGGGACACACCCCAGAGCTGGCCCAGAGCGGGAGGAAGCTGGGCGTTTACCCCCCTGGGCTGTTCCTGGGGTCCCTGACTCCTTGGCACTGTGAGCACGGTCCAGAGAGTAGAGGAAGTCCTGGGGCTGGGGCAGCTGGGGTGTGCAGGGGAACGTGGCCTCCGGGGGGACCTCAGGGACTGGGGTGCGGCCCCGGCAGCGTCTGCGTGGGGGCCGTCCATGCGCCTGGAATGGCTCGGGCAGGGCGCAGGAAAGGACGGGGCAGGAGCCAAGAAGAAAGCGGGGAGCAGCCCCCACTGGGGGAGAGGGAGGAGGGGCTGAGGCCTGGTCACGGGACCCTAGAAGAAGGTTCCCGGAAGAAAGTGCGACCATGCCAGCGGCTGCCTGGCAGGGGGAGGCAGAGACTGAGGCCAACGTGGGGAAGGTCGTGGGAGGGCGACGTGGGGAGGGTGAGGCAAGGGCTTATCCCAACACCGCCCAGCCCCAGCCTCGTAGTTAGGGAAGGCTGTGATTTTAATGCTTTATTCCAGCTGTTACTGCTTCGAAACAAGCAGCCCAACTTTGGAGTCATAAAACAACCATCATACTCAATGCCCATGGGCTCTGGGGGTCAGGACGTCAGACAGGCATAGCAGGGACAGCAGGGCTTCTCTCTGCTCCACGAGACCTGGGGCTCGTCTCGGAAGGCTCAAAAGCTCAGGGTTAGCATCTTCTGGAGGGTTCTTCTCTCACGTCTCTGGTGCCTGGGCTAGGAAGACTTGAAGGCTCAGCTCAGCTGGGACTGTTGACCTCAGTCGTGGCCCCTCCACGGGGTTGGGGCTTCTCACCGCGTGTGACTGTTCCCAGAGGGAGCCACCAGAGAAGGAGCATTTCTAGAGACCGCAGTGGAAACTGCACGGCCTTTTGCGTCCTTGCCTCTGAAGTTACACGGTGTTATTTCTGCTGTGTTCTACTGGTTAGAAGCAAGCCACCAAGCCCAGTTCTAGGGGAGAGTGCGCAGACTAAACGGAAAGTATTATTTGCCATGTTCCATTACAGATGAGGAAATAGAGGTCTAGATAAATGGAGTAACTTCCTCAGTGGCAAAGTCAGCTTGTGACCTAACCCAGGTGTCCTCAGACCCGTGCTTGTTCCACTGTGAGTCTTGGGGTTGAGCAGGTAGAGAGGAGGTGGGCAGGGAATGGCTTCCCTGGCCATACACAGCAAAGGTGAGGAGGATGTCCACCCAGACTTAGCAGACAGCCTGCCCCTGCTACCAGAAGCACAGTTAAGTGAAGGCTGGCCATTGACTACCTCATGTGTGTCTGTTTGCCACCTCATTCCACAAAGGATCTAAGATGGCAAAAACAAGCAGATTTTTAAAAAAAGAAAAACAAAGAAACAACAACAAAAACCCCACACTACAAAATAGAAAACATAAATACCCTTTGGGAAAGTTCCACACTTTTCCTACCCAGCCAGGGTAGGAAATAGAATGCAGATATGTAGGTCATGCAATCATATACAGTTACTATTTCTAAGCTGCATGTTGGACTCTGAGCTTCCTGGTGGCCAAAGAGAAAAGGGAAACTTGACTGGGTACATAATTTTCAAGGAAAATTCAAGGAAAGCAAAGCATATCTGGACCACTATTCCAAAAGGACACCATCCACTTTGGGAAGCCCTCAGTGATCACTTGTTTGGTTCTCCCCAGATCTGCAAAGTAGTGACCAATTCTGTGTCATCTGAGCTGCAGCCTTATTTCCAGAATCTTCCAGGTGAGGACTGGTGGGGATCAAGGACAGAAGGGGACAGAAGAGGGTGGGAAGTAGAGAGGCTGAGTGGGTATGATGGAGCCAGCAAGTTTCCCAGATAGGCCTGGGCCTGGGTGGGAATGGACAAAGCAGGTTATTTTCAAGTGGCAGATGGCATTGGGCCAGGTCCTGTGGTAGGTCTGTAAGTGAGGTAGAAAATCAACCCGCACCCCCCTCATTCCCTCAGCTCTGCAGAGACCAAACAGCCAAATGCCCCCAGCTCTCTGGGGCCAGAGACAATCACTGGCCTGAGATTTGATGCTGGTCACTTCTCCTTGGACCTCAGTTTCCACATCCTTAAAATGGGGACAATAACCCCCACCCCCACAAGCACTTGGTAAACTGCAAAGAGCTACAGCAGGCAGGGGAGGGCTTCCTCTGGCTAAGTGCTCGCCATGTGCCGGGCACTCAGGAAATTGTCCCCTCTCAGCCTCTCCATACTCCACTGAAATAGATGTTCTCCCCATTTCACATGTGAGGAACTGAGACTCAGAGAGGAGCTGAGACTCGTCCAAGGTCACAAAGCCATCAAGAGGCATGAGCAGGATCCAAGTCCGCAGTTAAGGTTTTGTTCATTCAGAGCCTGTGCTCCAAACGGCCACCAGGGCTGCCACCCCATGGAGCCCCGCACGGCTGGCACATGGTACCTGCCCATTTAAGGGGCATTTTCTTCCTCCAGGGCAGGGGCCCATCCTGGGCGTGGTCAACACCCAAGGTTTGGCCTCATGAGGCAGGGAAAAGATTTTGGTTTGAGCCCCAGCTTTGCTGCTCACCTCCTGTGCTATCTCGGATTTCTGAGCTTCAACTTCTTCCCCTCTAACGTGGGAGGGAAGGGCTACAGGAGGGGCCAGTGTGTGCGTCATTCTCATGGATGACTGCTAGGAAACAGAGACCTTCAGACCTGACCCGGGCGGGGCCCAGCCGGGATATTATCACTGCTGATAACGACCCTCCCCGGCATGTGAGCCGACGCGCAGGGCATTGGGAACACACCTTCTCGTGTGTCCTCCCAGCTTCTGTGGAGGTCACTAGTGTCACCCCCATTCTACAAATGGCAAAAAGTGGCCTGGAGGAAGTGTGAGGACTTGTCCAAGGCCGTACAGAGTTTGATTCGTGCCCAGGTCTCTCCGTGCCCTTGTCCCTGTGTTCTAGCCACTCTTCTCAGGGCTGCTGGAAGAAAGGAGGAAGATGGTATTTGTGAATGTGGGATGTGGGCTCGTTTTCGTACAAGGTGAGCCAGGGAGGGCTCCCTGGAGGAGGCACTGAAGCTCTTGATCCATTTTAGGGGATGCTGACCCTGCATCCCAGGTTCTAGGGATGGGAGCCCTGGGAGCCAGCTCATGGTCCATCTCCTTCCTCTCTAGTGATGACCAAAATAGATGCTGTGGCTGGGATCGACTATCGTTTGGTGGCATCTCCGGCAGCCACTTCTGAGTACCTGGACGGGCATCTGAAGGTGAGGCTTACACCAAGAATCATATAACTGCAAGCATCTGCCTCAGACCCTCCCGGGGCTCCCCATGGTCCTTGGAAACAATCTTACAATGACCTTCCCCCTACTATCTACCCCAGCACCACCTCCCTCTCCGCTCTCCCCTGACTCTCCCTGCTCCAGGCACACTGGCCTCCCCACCATTCCCAAGGCACACCGTGCCTGCCTGTCCCCAGGAACTTGCTGTTCCTTCTGCCCAGGGTGCTCTCCCCTAGATACCCACACAGCTCTGCCTTGCTTCCTTAGAGTCTTTGCTCAAATATCCCTTCCCTAGAGAGGCCTTCCTAGACCATGCTCACTGAAATAGCTCTCTCCTCTGCCCCCGGTCCTGCTTTGTTACTAATACACACACATAACACACAGACTATCAAGTCTGTCTCCCTGACTACAATAAGAGAGAAGGGGCTGTGAGTGCTTAGTTCACTGCTGTGTGTGCAGCACCCAGAACTATGCTTGGCACATAGTAGGTGCTCAATAAATATTTGTTGGATGGATAGATGGGTGGGAATATGGGTGGGTGGATGCATGGATGGATGGATGGGTAGGTTTGTGAATGGACAGGTGGGTGAGTGGGTAGATGGATGGGTGAATGGATGGATAGATGGGTGGATGGATGGATAGATGGGTGGATGGATGGATAGATGGATAGATGGATGCGTGGATGGGTGGATGGGTGGAGTGGATACATGGATGGGTGGGTGGGTGAATGGATGGATAGATGGGTGCATGGATGGACAGATGGATGGGTGGATGGGTGGATGGGTGGATAGGTGGATATATGGAAGGGTGGGTGAATGGATAGATGGACAGATGGATGGAGTTTGATTTCATGCCACTCTCTCCCTCACTCGCTACCCTCCAAACAGACACACTGGCCTTGCACTTCCTCAAATATACATCGAGCTTGTTCCCACCTCAGGGCCTTTGTCCTAGCTGTTCCCTCTGCCTGGAACTCCTTCCCCTCCCCATGTCCACCTCCACCCCGCTGGCTTCCTACGCTCCTCGTGGGTCTCTGTGCAGTTGTCGCTCCCAGAGCAGCCGTCCCCACCGCCCCGGCCAGAGGAGGTCCCACTTCCTGGAACTCCTTCCACTTATGCCTCTGTCCATCCTTCCCTATTGGTGATGTGCTTGTTTGTGTGTGGTTGATTGTTTGTTCCAAAACACGTTCAGTGTGAAAAGAAAATTTAGAAACTATGGAGGAGCAGAGAACTAAACAGGAAGGAAGGAAGGAATAGAAAGAGAGAGAGAAATTACCCAAGTCCTACAAGCCAGAGATAAGCATTGTCAGCGCATAGGGGTAGATAGATCACTCCAATCCTGAGACAGAGGAAAATACACACACACACACACACACACACACACACACATATAGAGACACGGGGACAAATACACGCACATACAGGCATAGAAACAAATACACACAAAACCCACAATATAGAAATATGAATAAATGCAACATATGTACTCACATATAGACATAGAAATACGCACAGACATACATACATTTGCATGCGTCATATTATACATGTTGCTTTACAACTATTAAAAATGAAAGTGTGTCCTGTGAACATTTTTCCATGAAATATCCTCCCGCAGCCCTCTTACTGGCTGTTTGTTGTTTCAGTGGACAGCTTGGGATAAGGTGTGTGGACAGTGCCCCCTCCTGGGACGTTTGGTCTCTTCCCGTTTTTTTCTGCAAACATAGCCAAAGCTGCAGGATCATCCTTGTAATTGTATCACTGCTCATGATTGAATATTTCCTAGAAGTGGAATTGCTGAATCAAATGGCATGCTAAACTAAAAAAAAAAGAAGACGGAAACTATGCCTGTATGTCTAAGTGAGACAACAGAGTAAAAGCTTAAAACAATATGCCATTATCCACAGTGAAGGAGAACGTCCTGTTTACCTCCTGGGCTCCTGCCCAGGGGTGATCGCTGAAAACCGTGGAATGTGTTGTAATGACTTAAATGCACAAGAAAAGTCATTTAGATTTTGCTGATAATCTGCACAAATGGATATGCACTGTTCTTCCACTTCTTTACTCAAGTGGAAGATGGTATTGAAGATGGTTCCTGGTCGGTACCCAGGTCCATATTATTTTTAAGAGTTGCATGACATTCCGTACTATGAATGTCATGTTGGTTGATTTTAAATGACGGAATAATTCAAAGGTACACAGTGTTACACACTTCCAGGTACCTACCACCCAGATTTAAGAACTGTTACCACTTTGCCATATTTGCTTCTGATTTTTTTTTTAAGTGGAACGTTGTAGAACTAACCAGCCGAGGCCCCCTTGGGCAGTGCTCTCCAAACCTGCCCCACCCCAGGTAACCACACTGATGATGTCCACGTGTGTCCTTCTTGCTTGCGTTTTTATACTTTTTATGGGCCTCTAAATTTTACATAAGTAGTATCCTACCCTATGTATCCATCTATAGTTTGCTTTTCTAAGCTCAACATTTTTTTTAGGTAAATAAATTATCTGCTTTTGCAACATGTTGCCAAATTGCTCTTCCGAAACAAGATAAACAACCCCAGCAGCGTATGAACACTCTCACCAAAAGCTGGAAAGCATCAGTCGAAAACACTCATAACACTTAAAACGCTTTGCCTCTTTTCAAATTTTGCTAGCTTTATAGATGAGACAAACAAACGGAATTGCATTGTTCTTTTAATAGAATTTTTCTGCTTATTAGCAAGGTTGAGGCTGAGCCAATGCTGCGGTTAGGCGAGTGCTCACTGGACTCTCGGTGCCCAAGTTCAATTCCTGGCCCTGCCACTAACCAGCTGTGTGACCTTGGGCAAGTCACTTCACCTCCCTGTGCCTCAGTGTCCACTCCTGTAAAAAGAGCGTAATTACAACCCCCCCGCCTAGGGTCGGCATGAAAAGTACTTAGAAACTAGCACCCAGGAGGGGTTTGATGCTATTCTTAGTTTCTGGTCACTGCTTTTTCCATTGTGTACAATCGATCGATGTCCTCAACCCATTTATTCCTGGGGTGGAGACGCTGAATTACAATTCCTGAAGGCTGCCTGGGCTCACTCTGTTGCCTCCACCCCCAGGGGGAGTTTTTCAGCCTGGCCCACCGCATCCCACCTCCCTTTGCCCCGTCAGCGCTGGAGTTGCCCGCCGACCACGACCGCATGGTGTACCTGGGCCTCTCGGAATACTTCTTCAACACAGCGGGGCTTGTGTACTACGAGGCTGGAGTCCTGAAACTGACCCTCACGGATGAAATGGTAAGGCCGGGTTGTGGGTGAGTGCGGGAAGAGCACTGGACTCCGAGTCCAGCAGACTGCATTCGAAGCTTTGTTCATGGGGGAGATCAAGGTGTTGACTCCCAGTTGGCCAGGCCAAAGTCCAAATCTTAGCCCCGCCCCTTTCCAGCCAGGTCACCTGAGGTCAGCTACTCAACCTCTCAGAACCTCAGTTTCCTCATCTGTAAAACACCAATAACGGTATCTTCCTCCAGAGGGTGTCGTGAGGAGGAAATGAGGTGTGAATGCTTGAGAGGCACTGAGCCCGGTGCTTAGCGTGAGAATGTCACGAGAAATGAACGTGACAGCTGACTTTGACCGAGTACTTGCCGTGGGTCAGACCCTGTAATCCAGTGTTGGCGTCACGCTTCGGCAGAGGCAGGCCGCCTGGAAGTGGGGCATCCCCTGCGATTGGCTTGGGGGCAGACTGGCCTTTCTCAGAGGCAAAACCAGGGAGGCTGATGGTGACTGGCCGCACATCCTGACCATTCCTGCAGAAGTTACGGTTTGGCTTCCGGGCTGGTTGCTGCAGAGGTTGTGGGTCAGTGTTCTGGGATCACATCTCTTCTGGCCATTGTCCATTTGTATATTCAGACTCTCACCACCCCCCCATACAGAATTTGTCCCCTCCTCTCTATCTACAACACAGCCCCCCCAGATCCTTTTCTTTTCTCTTGCTACAGATTCCAAAAACATCCACATTCCGACTGACGACCAGATTCTTTGGAACCTTCCTACCCGAGGTGAGGAGGGGCTTGCTCTCCTTTAGTCAGCTCGGGAGGTGGCCTGGGGGTTCTGGGGAGGACCGGGCTCAGCTGAGTGGGTACTGAGACGCCTGCGCCCGCAGATCCAGAGGCAACCCAGCGTGCGAGAGTGGAAATGGCTCCATGCAGCCCATCTCAGGACAGAGAAGGGCTCCAAGCACCCCGCTGGCCAGGTGTGCAGCGGATGCATAGGCTTGTCCATTTAGTAAAGTAAATAGCAAATATTTATCGAGTGCCCACCTTGTGCCTGAGGCCCCAGGCTGGGAACCCAACAAAACAGACCGTATTCCTGCCCTCCTGCAGCTCCCAGTCCGGTGGAAAGAAAAATATCATTCAGGTACACAAAACAATAACAAAAATAACACGGACTGTGATCAGTGAAACCAACAGGTTGATGAAGTTACTTTAGACAAACGGCCGAGGAAGCCCACTGTCTTAGTCCGCTTGGGCTGCCATGGCAAAATGCCACAGACTGAGTGGCGTAAACAACAGAAATTTATTTCTCATAGTTCCAGAAACTAAAAGCCCAAGGTCAAGGTGCCAGGAGATTCCGTTTCCGGTGAGGGCTCTTCCTGGTTCGTAGACGGCCGCCTTCTGGCTGTGTCCTCACATGACCTTTCCTCAGCGTGTGCACGGGGTGGGGGGACATAGCTCTCTGGTGTCTCTTCTTAAAGGACACTAATTCTGTTGGATCAAGGCCCTATCCTTATGACCTCGTTTAACCTCAGTTACTTCCACAGAGGCCCCATCTCCAAATACAACCACACTGGGGGTTAGGACTTCAACATATGAATTGGGGAGACACATTCTGTTCAAAATAGCCTCTCCAGCGGCGGCACCCCCAAAATTTATACATAAGGAAGTGCTGGTTGAGGGGACAGGATGGCTGGTGGAGATACCCAAGGGCATTGTCTTGAAGCTGCATTTTTATAGCAGTCACATTATTTTTACTCAGACCGGGGTTTACCTGGGGGAGGATCCGAGGCTAAGAGAGATAGGGGGTGGTCACCAAGTCCCTCCTTAATTCCCCCTTGAAGCCACTACTGCTCTCTGAAGAGGTGACATTTGAGCTGAGGCCTGAAGGCAGGGAAAGAGCCAAGCTAGGGAAGAATGAGTGGACAGGCATTCAGCAAGAGGGAACAGAGAGTGCAAAGGGTTTCAGATGCCAAGAAATCTTGTTGCATTTGAAAGAGTTGCCTGTGGCCGGAGATTGAGGACAAGAGGTAGAGACATGTAGGGTGAGGCTGGCAGGGCACCAGGTGCCAGGCTATGGGTCTTGGAATTTATTCGAAGAACAATGGGAAGATATTGGAGGTGTTTAAAGTAAGGGCAGGGCAAGACAGGATTTAGAAATATTTTAATTAAAGCTACGCTTTCTGTCGGTTCTCTCCACTGGGGGTGCAGGTGGCCAAGATGTTCCCGAACATGAACATGCAGCTCGCCATCTCCGTGTCCACCCCGCCACACCTGTCCATGCAGTCCTCCGGCCTCGCCCTCACCCCTTACCTGGAGGCTGAAACCTTTGCCATCCTCCCCAACTCCTCCCTGGCTTCCCTCTTCCTGCTTGGCTTGGTAAGCGGTCCCGGGTGTGGGCAGATGGGGAGCCCTGCGCAGTGCCGAGAGCACTGTCCTTGCAGTCGGGAGACTGGGTGTAAATCCTGCCCAGATTCAAATCCAGACGGTGTGACTCCAGAGCCTGAGACCAGCTCAGCTCGACTGCTCTGGCCCCTGCAGGCGTTCATCCACCCAGCCGTTCCCTTGTGCGTTTGTTTAGTTACGGATTCAATTACTCATTCACGCAATTTTTCATGCATTCAATTATTCTTTCCGTTTTTGCTTGAAATATGTGTACTGTGTCCAATTCATTCACTTGCGTCTTTAGTCATTCAGTTATGTATTTGTGCATTTGTTCATTCATTCGTTCACTTATTCATTCAATCATTCATTAGCTTGTTGAAACGTGCTACCCCCTTTCCACATGCATTCATTCGTTCAATTATTCATTTACTTATCCCTTTGTTCAATTGTATGTTTGTCCCTTCCTTCATCCATATCTATTCATTCTGCCTATCTTTGTTTATTCCTTCGTCTGTGTATTTGTTTAATCCTCCATCCAGGTTGTCACTCCACGATTGCTGCGTGTGCTCATTCGTTCGGTCACTCCATCACTCTGCAAGCATTTGGTGGCACCTGCTGTGGCCACTGGGATGTGGACCAGACTCTCTCCCCTCCTGGAGGCCCTTCGAGGCCTCCAGCGGGTGTGCCCGGTCTCAGGCTGTTATCTCTGCTTTGCAGACAGAACGGCTTCTGAGGGGTCACCCAAGGTCACACAGACCGCACAGGACCCCCGAGGTGGGAACCTCGGTCTTCTCCCTCAATAAGTATTTTTTAATGAATCAGTGTATAAGCGGTTGTGAGGACAGGGCAGGCCTGGACTCCAGCCCTGCGGTCTGCCTCCCACAGCCCTTCCAGGAGTGGCCTGGGGACTCTGAACTGGCCCGAGAAGCAGGGGGAGAAAATGGAGATTGGCTGACAGTCGGGACTCAACGGCCACAAGGCCAGTGAAGTCTCCGCGGTCCTCGGGCTCTACTGGCCTGACCCGGTGGTGCGGGCGGCCCTCCCGAGCCTTTGCGAAGCTGACCCTCTTGTCTCGGAGGCCTCCAAGAGCCCAAGCCCTGGGTCGGGGCGCTTCACGCTGGGTCGTTGCTTTGCAGAGCACGAACGCTTCTGTGGAGGTTGGTGCCACGTCCAGCAGGCTCGTCGGAGAGCTCAAGTTGGACAGGTGAGTGGGCCTGTGGGGCCAGGAGGAGGGGCCGCCCATCCACTCGTGGTGTCGTGGGGCAGCCGGGGCCTCACGGTGTGCGTAAGCACCGTGCTGTTGCTTTCCTGTGTCCCCGTCACATTTAAGCCGCAAACGGCGTGTGATGGGCACAATATCCCCACTTTGCACACAGCAAAACTGATGCTCAGAGGCAAAGCGGCTTGCCCAAGGTCACACCTTGCAGGGCCACCCATCTTCTTTGTTTACACAGGAGTGTCCCAGTTTTAGCACTGAAAAGTCCTGTGTCCCAGGACGGCCCATGGCTGGGAAGAGCCAACCAATGAGCCATGCCACACCCAGCCACACCGTGCCCGGCCGCCCCATGCCCCCGGCCTTCCTTGGCACTCGGAAATCCCACTTCAACTTCTGACCCCATCCCAAGGACTTTCCAAGTCTCCCTGCTGGGAGACTCTGGAATCCACGTGGGCAGGGTTTGAATCCGGCAGTGGAGGGCGTGGTTAGGAGCGTGGGCCCTGCCATGAGGCTGCCTGCATTTGAAGAGCAGCTGGCCTTGGCAGGCACCAAAACTCTCCAGATCCCAGCCTCCCTGGCTGTCAAACCCAATAATTATTCTTTGCCCACAGTATTGTTGTGAGGATTAAATGAGATATGAATATGCGCTGACATGTGTAGAACACTTGAAGGGGTATAATAAACATTCAGTGAGCAATAGGGAAGAGAAAGACAGAGAAACATGCAGAAAAGGAGAAATACAGCAATGGAGGGAGAGACATAGAGAAAGAGACAGGCAGAGACACAGAAAGGAGACAGAGAAAGAGACAGGACACAAATGGAGGGAGGAGAGAGACGGGAAGAGCGAGTGCAAGAGAGATACAGACAGACAGACGAGGACACATGACGACAGAGACCAAGAGACAGAGGGAGGGAGGGGGCGAGACAGAGAGCAGGAGCCACTTAGAGCAGATGTGACGCCCCAACATGCAGACCTGGCCGCTGCCTCTTTGCCACGTTCACGCTGTTCACATAGAGCCTCGACCCGCGTCCCTGCCCGCTCCTGCCTCCTCCCTGGCACCGAGCTGTCCGTCTTAGCCCCGAGACCGGCTCCTGAGGGTCCCACGCTGCGCATTGCTCCTGGCATCATTTTGACAAGCACTTCTGCTTCTGAAACATGTGGATTTCATTTTTCTGAAACACCCGTGGGCCTCTCTAGTCGAGGAGCCGGAGCAGATACAGCTGGGTGTCGGCTGAACACAGACTCTGTGAAATCTGCGGAGGGCTGCGGGGTCGGGTACGACAACCCACAGAGCAGGAACCCTGGGGCTACTGCCGCTGGGTGAGCAAGAGCAAGTTGTCAAACTCTGCAGAGTGTCTTACACGACAAGGGCTTTGGCCTCGGGGAGACCTGTTTGAAATCCTGCTTTGCTAATTGTTAGCTGTGTGGCCTTGGACAGTTGCTTGCCCTCTCTGAGCGTCAGTTTCCTCATTTGTAAAATGAGAAGCCCTCGCCTCTTGGGGTGTTACCGGCATTTAGTGGGAGAAAGCACCCGCCACAGTGAATGATAGGGGTTTAATGAATGGCCTCATTTCCCTCTTTCTCAGAGATCACTGTTAAAATGCCATAAAGGCCAAAAGGGGGGAATAGTTTATGGGTCAGGTAATGAAAAGTCCATGGGTTTCCGGCAAGGGTGGACCCAGGTGCTCAAGTGATGTCCTTAGGAATCAGGCACTCTCTGTCTCTTGGCTCTGCTGTCCTTTGTGCTGGCTTCATCCCTCAGCAGGCTGTCACCAAGTGGTGGCAAGATAGTCACCAGTAGCTTCCTTATTTTCCTTGAGAAAAGAGCACCTCATTCCCAGTATTCCTAGCAGAAGTCCAGAGGCTACTCTCACCGGGGCAGCATGGGTCACGGGTCCCTCCCTGCGGCAGTTACTTTGGCAGGAGAGGGGGCTGCGCCCTGTGGCCAGCACGGGCTGGGGCCCAGTGTGGGGTCAGCAGCACTAACGACGCAGGGAAGGTGTGGATTCCCCAAAGGGAAAATCAGGGGGCTGTGACCGGAGGAAGGCGGATGGACAGTGGGCGGGAAAACCAGGCAGTATCTGCCAGACGGGGCCCCTTCTCCCCGGCAGCTGGGTTCTCACTCGGGTCGGCCATTGGTGATCTCAGTCTCCCTCCCCCGGTCACAGGCTGCTCCTGGAACTGAAGCACTCGAATATCGGCCCCTTCCCGGTGAGTCTGAGGCCTTTGGTGGCCCTTCCTTCTCCTGATGTGGGGAGACGTGTCAAGGGCTCGTGGCACTATTTGGGTTCATTTGCATATAATTTGGTGCGGATTAATGGTGCGAGGAGCTCCGTGGGCAGAGAGACCTGAGCCGGAATCCCTGCTCCGCGCTTACTAACTGCGGGGCCTTGGGCGAGTCACTTCCCTTCTAAACTTCAGACTTTTCACACCTGAGCTGGTGTGGGGAGGTTTAAACAGGATTAAACATGCACGATCCAGTTGAGGAAATCTGCCCAACGAATGTTTGCTGAGTGGACAAATTAATTAGTTCACTGAGCACCTATGACCTGCCATGTCCTGTTCCAGGTGTGGGGGTGCGCCGATGAACAAGACAGGGAAGAAACACTTCTCAGAGCCTTACGTGGCAGTGGGGAGACAGAAATGAAGGTCACAGTCAGAGCTATGAAAGGCGAAATGGGGGTGGGGTAGAAAGTGATGGGGAGAATTAGAGGTGAGAGGGTGTGATCACGGAAGGCCTCTCTAAGGAGGTGATATTAATACTTAGGGTAAAGGACGAGAAGGAGCCAGCAGAGCGACCAGCAGGGGCAAAGGCCCTGTGGTGGGAACAAGTGTGGCATGTTTCAGGACTGGAGAAAGCCAGCTCGGCCAGAGAGGCAGGCAGGGGCTGGCTCACCCAGGCCTCCGGGCTAGGGTAGAGAGGGCAGATTGTGTTCGACAGGCAATGCGCAGCCAGGGCACCGTCCCCTGCAGGGAGCAACACGATCTGATCTGCACCTACACCCCCAGCTGGGGTAGGGGCAGTGGGCGACAGACCAGCAGGGTCAGTGGGGAGGGGGCGCAATTGTCCATGTGAGATGGGGAGGACCGGAACTCGGCCAGGAAGAGGGAGAGAGGTGGTGGGAGGGACACAGATTTGGGAAGTGGATTTGGACAGAACTTGGTGGGAGATTTGACGTGTGTGGTGAGGGAGGGACCCCCGGGATGACTGCTGGGGTCTGGACGGAGCAGCTAGACGAATGGCCGCTGGCTGAGACAGAGAAAGGGAGGGCCGGTGGGAGGGGAGGAGCAGGGCTCAGTCCAGCCCACATGGACAATCCCACCGCCTGGGCATCCCTGCCCGTGGTTGAGGAGGCTGCCCCTGCTGTGGAGGCAGACGGGGAGTCGCCCCTGGAAGCAGGAAGCAGTTGCCGGTGCTGTTCAACACCGGCCATGCAGAGCGTCTGCCCTGGCATCTCTCATCACAAGCCACGGTGTGTTGATTCTGTCCAGGGTCTTACTACGCTGGCCTGAATCTCCCGGTGGGCCTGTGGTTGAACCCCAGTTCCCGCTGCTCCAGAGAACATTTCCTTAGATCCCTGAGGTGCCCTCAAGTTCCCCACCAAATCAGTACCTTGTAAGCCACCCAGGAGTCCCAAAGTCATACTGTCTCCATGTCCCCTCCAAATCTGATTAAAGTCCAGCCAGCCATTTCCACCTAATGAGATTACAACAAACCGAAGGACCACACGCAACCTCATTGCATTTTCATGGATTTACTGGTGCCAAGGTGCTCTCTCAGTGATCTGCTTCTGCAGAAAACAAAAATTTAAAGTTCCCAGGATTCGTAGGAAGGAGGGCACTACATTTGGTGAGGCCATGGAATTGTGGCCCCGGGGAAGGAAACTCCAGAAACAAAAACGTGTATATTTGCAAGTTATAGATGTCACCACTAATGCAATCATCTTGAGGCCTTTACGCTATTTTTGAATATTTTTTATCATTGTTGAAGCAAAACATACGCACTATAGAGCAGTCAGAACCTACAGATTTGCAAAACAAAGAAAATAAAGCCCATCCATATATTCATCACTTAGTTAATAATTTGGAGTATATACTTCCTGGCCTTTCGCTATGCCTATTTAATTAAAAACATGGAATTATGTGATTTCTATGGCCTGCTTTTTCTCACTCAAAAATACATCACAAATATTTCCGTGTTGATATTTATATTTCTACAGCATCATTCTTAACAGTTGCATAATATTTCTCAGTATCGAAGTATCACCATTTCCTCCAAGTGATTCCCCTATTGTTGGAGATGTGGGTTGCTTTTAAGTTATTGTTTTGGTAAAATTTATTACTTTGGTGAGCATCCTTGCATCTAAAGTTTTGGCCGCACTCTACGTTATTTCCTTAGGATAAATGCCTTGGAGGCATGTTTGTTGACCCAAAAAGCACACACGTCTTTAAGGCTTTTGAGGAACATTACCAAATAGCTCTCAAAAAAGTTCATCCAATTTGCCCTCTAGCCTGCAGTGTCTGAGAGGATGCTTTTTGTTTTCTTTTTAGAGGCAGGGTCTTACTCTATCGCCCAGGCTGGAGTCACAGTGGCATAATCATAGCTCACTGCAGCCTCGAACTCCTGGGCTCAAGCGATCCTCCTGCCTCAGCTTCCCAAGTAGCTAGGACTACAGGCATGCACCACCAGGCCCAGCTAGTTTTTAAATTATTTTTTATAGAGATGGGGTCTTGCTATGTTGCCCAGGCTGGTCTCAAACTCCTGGGTTCCAGTGATCCTCCCACCTCAGCCTCCCAAAGTGCTGAGATTACAGTGAGCCACTGCACCTGGCTGAGGATGCATTTTTTAAACCAAGGTTTTCACATTTAAATACCCTCTGGTGACCTTCCTCATCACTGTCAGAAGGTCTAAGGCCTTGTGCCTCACAATTTAGAACATGCTTTACATCTGGGACCATTAGAGCAAAAGAAGTCACTTCTGTGACCTTGATTGGGTTGCAGAGTTTTCACATCATCACGTGTGTCCAGCTCTTAGCAGTTTTCCCGGCTGTGAGGTTGCTGAGCCCACTGGGTGGAAGGGAGGGTGACGGAGGACAGCTGATCCCAAGGTGCCCTGACGACATCAGTCTTCTTCTCCTGACTCTCAGGTCGCACCACTGCAGGCTATGATGGACTACGTTGTGCCCACTCTCGTGCTTCCCAGGGTTAACCGTAAGGAACTTTGGAGAAACGATTGGTTTTTAGTCATGGGGGAAGAGGCTGGGTAGATTACCTAGAGGTGCCTGAGACCCGGCCCCAGTTGTGAGAGCTGGAGATGGTCACCTCATGAGACAAAGGCAGCCCCATGAGAAAAATACTTATTAGTATCTCCATTTTTCATGGAGGAAACAGAAGATCAGAATGGTTGAGTGACTTATCTCAGATCACACAGCAGGCAAGAGGTGGAGCTTGGGTTTGATCCCAGCTCTGAAGCCAGAGCTTTTTCCAACTCTGGGAGAAGGACCAGGGAGTCTCCTGCTAACCTGGAGAGCTTCAGGCAGGCCTACCCCCAACCTTTGAGAGCCAGGGGCAAGAGTATAATAGAGGCCACATAACCTGTGACTGGGATATTTAGAAATTAAAAATGAATTCAACAAATTATTATATAGAATATGATCTAGCTTCCTCCGTTGACAAACATAGCTTCATAATGGCCTGGGAGACCCGGTTCGAATTTAGAATTGTAGAATTCCATGTGAGAATGTGGTGGTGTGGGGGGAACTGGCTTTGTCCTAAACATCGACAGATACCCCTATATGTCCATGCTCTGTCCACACCGTTGCGGGCAGCTGGCCCTTGGCAGGGCTGCGCCCTCAGGAGGGCGGTCTTGGGAAGAGGTCCACACAGGTCCGGGAAGTGGGCTTGGGGCCGATGGAGAACCACAGAGGGGAGGTGCAGGCCCTGGGGCAGCCTCCCTTTTAGGCACGTACACCCCTGCCAGTCCCCACCTAGGGCGGGGCACGCGGGTCCAGGGAGGCTGCCCACCCTGGCTCTCTGGCCTTCCCTCCCCTCCTGGTCCTCACACTGGTCTCCATCACAGAGAGGCTGCAGAAGGGCTTCCCTCTCCCGATGCCCTCCCACGTCCAGCTGTACAACCCGATGCTTCGGTCTCACCAGGTGAGTGTCCAGCATCTCTTCTAGACAAATCTCCCACGACAATAGTGACCTGTTGCTGCGACGCTCCCTCTATGCCAAGTCCTGCGTCTAGTGCCTTCTCCCCCCACAACAACCCCGGGATGTGGGTGCTCTTAATAAACAGAGAAGACAGACCAAGGCTCAGAGAAGCCACACATGTTAAATGAAGTCCAGGTTCAAAGCCAGGCTCCTGACTGTGAGCCAGCACTGCCTCACTCCCACGCTACGCTTGGCAGACACGGAACTCATCTAGTGGCCAACGGGCCCCTTGTAAGGCGGGTGCATTTACATATTTAACAAATGCACGTTGCATGCCTTCTTTCGCACCCCGTGTCGTGCCGGACACTGCAAGTATAAAACGTGGCCGGTGTCTGGCAGATTTAGACACAGCCCAAAAGGCTTCCTGGTGGCTCTCGCCCAGCCTGACCTCCGTCAGCGTGGGACACGCCAACCCGTGTCCTTGGCTTTCTTCTCTCAGTTTCCCAGCGTGTCCCAACAACGCTGTTATCTCTGTGACAAAACCACCCCCCAGTACTGCAGTCCTCACCTTGGTCAAGGGCTTTCCCGGTAACTTGTGGCCCTCGTGGGAGACGCCCACATCACCCGGATTCCTCGCTCCCCCAACTGTCAACGTCATCGATCAATCCCCGGTTCTTTAGACCGGGGAGCTAATGGGGCTGAGAGACTGTAGAAAACTAGCCGCGAGAGCAGAGGAAACACATGGCCAAATTCCCCACATTTTACCAAGTTCATCCAGTAAAAAAAAAGACCCCATGGCACAATTTAATTTCTTCATTTCTGGAGATTCTGAGCGAAGGGCACAAAGGAGCAAAGAGAGGTGGTTTTGCAGCCTTGATGGGAACAAGGGCTCCCTCGAGCTGCCACGAGGCAGGGATGACAAACGAAGCCTCCAGAACAGCCCGGGGGTCTCCGTGTCTGAGAAGGAAGCCGCTGCTGGGGATGCTGCTGACAGATTCCCGGGCATTGGTGGCTGCTGATGTGCAGAGCCCAGTGGCCAGACCCCGAGGGCCCCCACCGCCAGCCCTGGACTTTGTGTGAGCAGGCAGGCCCCATTCTGCTCTCTCCTTCCCCATAGGTGGGCTGCCAAAGTTTCCTTCTTCAAAGCCTGGCAGCCCCACACTCACGAACAGGGGGTGCGCCTCCAGCTGATGCCAGCACCTCCATCTCTCCCCAGGGTTTCCTGCTGTTTGGTGCAGACGTTCACCACGGCTGAAGTCGCCGGGCGTGCTGGAGGCTGGCGGCCGCACCTGTTCCTGATGGGCCGCAGGGCACAGGCTGCCTTTCTCCAGGGAATCCCCTCTAGACCTTGACCAAGAAACCCCTCGCAAACTTCTCTGAACTCAGACTGAGAAACGGTCTGAACGTGGGGAACTGTTCACTGGACAAAATGCATGGTGTGTATTTCAAGGGTGACAGCTGCACAGACGTTTCCTCTAGGAATTGTGTTTCCATTGTAACCACGATATTTCCCTTTGTGCTTCGCGCGCGCGCGCACACACACACATAAAAAAACCCTCTTTTTTTCCTGTAGATTCTGTGTGCTGGTCTCGTTTCTTGTTTTATGTTCATTCATTTATTTATGCATTGGCTGTAACCAGTGTGGCCTGCAGCACCAGTTTACAGCACAGATTCGATCACTTCTTTTTATTTCTGTAATTAATCTCTTGCAGTCCCCATGCGCCTACATTAGCAGAAAGTCTCATGGCTCAAAGTGTCCTTGGGGTTTTCTTAGTCCAGACTCCCAATGCCATGCAGAGTCTGGAGAATATATATACCGCTGGGCTGCCACACGGTGTTGCTGTCGAACAGCAACGGTTCTGTAAGAGCGTTGCCTGGCAGTATAGCCACCAATCCACCGGGGCTGTTGCTCCTGTCGCCACCACACGGTGTCGCTGTTGAACAGCTATCCTGCACAGCCTGTCTTTCCTGCCCCACACCTGGGCTCCACCGTGATGATTCCTAGTCCACGCTGTCTTCCCAGCCGTGTGCCCAAAGCAGAACACCGGGTCAGGTTGCAGAGGCCACTGGGGTTTCAGCTTCAATCACATCTTTGGGTGCAATTGCCACTTCCCCATGACTCTTCTGGCCCGGTGGGGAAGCCAGATCACCAGCCCAGACTGTCTTTGGATTTACAGTGAGTTTCCTTGGGGGCTTTGAGCCATTTCCTGCCATGGGACATCAGGGAGGGCTACCTCAGGCCATTAGATGGGTTTTTATAGCCTTGTACTTCAAATTGATTGAGTCCCGGAAGGCCTCTCTAAGCTGTACGCGTTTGGTCTGAGACCAGAAGGATAAACAACACACCTGCAGGGTGTGATGCGGACAGTGGAGTGGGGGCTGACATGGCCACATTTAGTTTTTAAAATATTTTGTTTTGACTTCTGAAAGCATCAGAAGGGCAAGTGTGGAAGGGGATGGACATAAATTAGGAATCTGTTGTTGTTATTCAGACTTCAGCCAGGTTGCTGATGGTAAAAATGGAGAGAAGTATTTGCAGTGAGCAAAGGCAGGTAAAAGATATTTATTTTATTTCCTTTTTAAAGAAAAATGCACACACTTCAGCTAACATCATTGATTCTCTGTTAAATCGAGGTAGAAGCTCCAGGGCCACACAGGAATGGAGGGCCATTGATCAAACACTCACAGGAGTCAAGCACAGCACAGGAATCATCTCGTTTAATCCTCATGGGACTCTCCTTCCCCCAAGGTGGGAATTGTTCAGTCCTTTTAGATTGAGTTACTCTCCCCAGATCATACAGCTGGCAAGTGGCAGGGCTGGAATTCCAACCCTATCTGTCATCAGAGCCCATGCTCTTTCCACTCCTCCCAGATTTTCAAATCTTGTCTGTTTGGAAGCTTGGCAAGTTTAAGGCAGGACTGCTGGGTTCGGTTGCATAGGTTGTACACTATAAAAAAAAAAGCTCTCAGCTGAGGAAACAAAAGTCTTTCTCAGATTCGTCCACCAGGAGGGTGCACGTTTTTCTATTTGTCAAAGGCTAGTGGAGGCCCCAGGTAGGAACAGAAGAACAGCCAGTGAGTCTAGAAGGAAGAGAGCAAAGGGAAGCACAGCGTGGGATGAGGCTAGGAGGCCATGAAGACTGTTAAGGACTTTGGGCTTTGTTCCAAAAGATAAGGGAAACCACTGGAGAGTCTTGAGCAGGAGAATGTCACAATCCAATTCACATTTTAAAAGACCCCCTGGGTCTTTTACCCCTGTGTAGCTGGTAAATACACAGCCCTGCCCTCCCCCTGTCCCACCCTCTCATCCTGTCCCATCATTCTCTTGGGAGATAGTTGGCCCCTCCCACACCTGCCCTCTACTTTCCCGAACATACCGGCAGACTGCTCTACTCTCCACAGAAACACTGAACTTATTTCTGGGACCTAAAGTTGGTGAGAGGAACACACGGTACCTGGGACCCTTTCTCTAATGGCTGAGAAAAGACAGTTGTTTGGGGACCAGGATTTGAGGAGCGTTCCCAGCACACTCCAGATGTTCTGCCCAGCTGCCTGCGGAGCCACTGTTCCAGCAGCTTCTCCCTTAGGCTAAGCATTGTCTGCTCCAAATGACTGCTAATGCGATTGGGGTTTCTTTGGTGGTGCTGAAAATGTTCTAAAATTAGATTGCTGGGATAGTCGCACAACTCTGTGAATATACTAAAAACCACTGAACTGTACACTTTGAGTGGGGGAATGTTATGGTATATGAAATATATATATCAATAAAGTGGTAAACAAAATGAAAGAAAAAAAAGAATTGCCCCCTCCGGACGGCCTGAACCCTCACCATCAGAGCAGCTTCCCTTCTGGGATAAGCATTGCCCTCTCGGGGTTCCTCTTGGAAATGCTGATTTATTAAATATGAGGGAGGGGTACCCCATGGGGGGGAGAAGGAGGGGACAGAGAAGGACTAACCACTGTGTTCGTTGTTTTTACCGTATCTCACTAGTGGCCATGCGTGGCCCTGCCCTGGGTCAGTCTCTTCAGGTTTGTTGTCCCATTTAATCCTGATGACAACTTCTAAAGGTAGCCAGGGTGGCCTTCATTTTCCAGATGAGGAGTCTGTAGAGGGGTAATGTGGCCTGCTCAAGGTGTTCAGAGCCTGGGCTTTGGAGTCACCTGGCCCTGGTTTCAAACATCCACCCAGCACCGCCCCCCCATGAGCTGTGTGATGTTGCAAATGTTGCTTAACCTCTCTGGTCCTCCATTTCCTCCTCTGAAAAGGAGAGATAAAGCCTCGCTGTCTTCTTTGTTGTGAGGTTATTGGGAGGAATCAGAGGGTATACTTGGTGGGCTCATGGCACGGTAGGTAAGAGCATGAGCTATAATCCCAGATGCCTTGGGTTCAAGTCTCAGCTGTGCTATTTACCAGCTATGTGACCTTGGGCAATTTACTTAATTTTCTGGCCTTCGATTTTCTCATCTGTAAAGGGAACATCATGATAGTACCTACCCCATAGAGTGTTATGAGAATCAAGTACATGGGAAACCTGTGGTACAGGGTTGACAGGAGTAGTCCAAGTTAGCTTCAATATTAATACACCCAGTTCTTCTCACTATATTGTAATGACTACATCTAGCCTGCCACGGGTGTGTTCCCAATGCCTGCCACATAGTAGGTGCTCAATAAATATTTATTTTATAAATGATCTGGAATTTAAACCAACATCTGCATGACCCAAAGCCATTATGTCAGTGATTCTCAAAACATGATCCAGGGCTGTCTGCCTGGATGGGTCTGATTCTAAGAATCAAAGCCTCTGTCTGGCCAGAAGTCTGGGCTTATCCTCTGCAGTTCAGTAACAGGCTCACAGCGTGACCGGGGCCGGTCCTCCCTGTCTAGGTCTCTGGTCCCCCATCTACAAAAGCAAGGACTCTCTGGAATTCAGGAAGAGAATTCAATAAAGTGAGCTCTGGCAAATATTAAAGAATCTCTACCGGCTGAGAAATTTTCATTTCAACAGAAATTCCTTAGGGTCCCCAAAGCCATCAAGACCCAGTAAAATGAAGCAACTGCTGGGATTTTAGATGGTGCCAATTGCAGAGGCAAACAGGGGGTGGAAGGAGGGGATGGGAGGGCCTCAAGTTCCTTAGACTCTTCCGGGGGGCGGGGGGGCTGTGTAGCCACCTGGCCAGCCCAGCTCCAGGCGGTCTCCTGGCAGCCCAAGTAGATGACACTGCACTAGATCGTCACTGACACTAGTATTTGTATTTTGGAAATCCATAGGCCTCAGGGCTCACGTGCACGCATGTGTGTCCGTGCCCCCCTGTGTGTGTACGGATCTGCAGTCGGGACTAGGGGAGGGGGCTGCCGTGAATATCAAACGCCCAACTCCAAAGCAGCCGAGAGAGATTCAGAACTGCAGGTCTTCACAGCATCATTCTCTTTCAACAAGAGCCAGTGTCCCCAGGAGTGTGGCACTGTCACAGAAAACTATTGCGAATGAGGGCGAACAGAGTCACAGAATCGCTGAGCTTGGAGGCGGCTGGGAGCTCATTTAGTCCCTCCTCCCTGAAGCACGATCCGCGGTCAGCGGCATCCTGGCATCACTATCCTCGCGTCACCATCCTGGCATCACCGGGAACTTGTTAGAAAGGCAGAGGCTCAGCCCCCTGGAAGGAACCCGGTGGGTCAGAGTTTGCATTTAAAGAAGATCCCTGGGGATTTGCCTACACAGCTCACTTTCTGACTCACTGTCCTAGTCCCCAGCCCTCATCTGCATTTGGGGGGAAAGTGAGGCACAGAGAGGGGTGGAGTTTGCCCCTCGTCCCACAGCCCATCAGGATCAGCGCCTTGACGGAGACCTGTGCAGACTTTGGAAAAGAATCAAAGCTCTCTGCAAGGGACAGGCATTTGCTACAAACGATTGGTAAGTGCAGAAGAAATGCTCACAGCTGCTGACCACGTCCACCAGGGGCCAGGAGGAACCAGAATCCAGCCCCCATCGTTCCTGGGATTGGAATGAAGGGGCTATTTATAGAGCTGGGGGACAGGCTTGGGGAAGCCAATCGGGACTAGCATCCCCAGGGTTGAAGCAGCAAAGAAAGGTGTCCAGGTATCCAAGCCCAGTGGGAGTGGTGGCCTGGGGCCAGGGGTTATTACGGGACATGGTCACCACCTGACCTGTGATCTAAGAGAAGAAGGGAACAGGAAAGGTGCCCTGACCCCTGACCTCCTGCCATGCTGTCCCTTGGCTGAGCCCAACTAGAGATGAGGGAACTGAGTCACAGAGTGACCCAGGTCACCCAGTGGGGGAGTCAGGATTCACATCCAGGGGCCCCAGAGTCCAGAAAGATAAACGAGGTGTGTTCATTCCTTTGGCAGTTATCTGCCATGTGCTGCTCGGTATTCCAGACACTGGGGATTACAAATTCTGGGTTTTCCAAGATCCTTTCAACTAATACTTTTGTAGTCAGAATTCAATAAACACCATCCTTGGTAAAAGCGAGCATTTTCGCCGCAGTAGGACTGGAGGGTGGCCAGAGTGGCGGCAGGTGTCCCGTTTGTGGAGGTGGAGAGACAGCCAGCTGGAAGAAAGGCCCAGGGGTTCTGGCCAGTGTTGGGGTCACGCTGCTCCCTGAGGCCTCTGCTGGGTCCTGGGTCATCCTCGGGAACCTTAGCCAGGGGCAGGCACCTGTGGGGGCAGAGGCCTGGCCTGGGGCCACGTGGCAGCTCTAAGGTGCAAAGGTTGCTGCTATGGGAAATTCCCACCCCTGCAAACAGCTCCAAGCGGGGACATCCTCAAACTGCTGCCAGAGGAAGAGTGACATCCATGTCCCCACAAGGCCCCCACTCTCTTCCCCACCTGTGCAGGCTGAGGTCCAGGAAGCAGAGGCCCCGAGGGACACACCAGTGAGCCTTTTCCTGCTCCCAGGTCTCCCAAAGGCCAGCTCTCTCCCATCCTTAGGCCTGCCCTGACCCTCGTTTTGGGATGGCGTCCCGCAGACCTGTGCTCAGATCGCTGGGTCACTGTGGCCACATCACTTCACCTCGCTGAGCCTCATCCTTCATCTCTGGATGAGACTAAAATACTCACCTTCGGGGGCTGCTGTGGGGATGAGAGGAGATGGGCAGCTTAACCAGCATGGTGCCTGCACATAATAGGTGCTCAAGAAACAGATGGGCTTCCTCCCAGTTCCCACAGGCTGCTGCAAGGATCACGGGATATGGAAGGCTCAGTCCTGCCCTCGAGGAGCAACCAGGCTGGTGGGGTGGAGGCTTGGGGTGAGGGCCAGACAAGGACCCCAACAAAGCTCAGTTAAAGTGACAGGGACAGCCCAGCACAGAGGAGCAGAGAGGCCTGGGCTATGGGGTTCCCTGTGCTCAATGTGGGACGTTCTGATCGTAACCTCAGCGCCTTTCGGTGCCATTTGTGACCCGTGGGTGGTCACCCTGCTACTCCTACCACATTCACTTGGTTAAGGCAGTCACAAAGACCCACCTAATTTCGAGGGAAGGGGACAGAGACTCCACCTTTCAATGAGAAGAGTACCAAAGAATTCATGGATATATTTTCAAAGGACCACAATTACCAAAAAGCAGAGAGTGTTTAATGCTGTGACAGAGAAAGCGCAAAGAAGACAGTGCAATGGTCCTCAGAGAAGGACCTTTCTCCAAGCCAGAGAAACATGGGGTGATCAGGGAAGGCTTCCTGGAGGCGAGGGCGGAGCAAAGCTCACAAATATAGGAAGTCCTGGGGAAAAACTCTATAAATTAAGCACAATCTCTACTATAAATTTTGTTTTCCAACATGAAATTTTACTATCTTTACGTACTGCAAATATAGTATTTTATATATGTGCCATTGGAAACCAATCCTTCATGAGCACCTTTCTTCAGCAAGAAATACATTTGTCCCTGCAGCGTCACCTTAAATGGCGCGTCATAATTCATTTAACCCACACCCCTTTGTCGGATACATTAGGCTTGACTCACTTCTCCCTATTTCACACATGGGCAGTGGACATCGTAGTGCAGGACTTAATTGCACTCCGACTTCATTACGTCCTTAGGGGCAAGTTCCAGAAGTAGGATTGCCGGGTCACAGGCCGTGCAGCGGTGTAAAGATTTATGAATTGCCTTCCAGAAAATTTTGCCACCAGGAAGGTTAGAAAGAGCCTGTTATCCCATGGGGGGAAACATTTATTTTTTTAAATAAACAGAGTCGAGTGTAAAGAAGACAGTTTGGAAGGCGCCAGACGAGGCTTTACTTTCTGCTCTGCCATTTGTTGGCTGTGAGATCTTGAGGGAGTGAGGTGGCCTCTCTGAGCCTCAGTTTCTTCGTCTGTAAAACCAGGCCTCCCTAGCTGAGCTCTTAAGAGACTGGCTGAGACGAGGCAAGGCCTCTGGGGACGAGTGAGGGTTTTGCACTTGGGGCCAGGCCACCCTCCGATCTGGGCAGCGACAACGGGCTTCTAAGTATGACCCGTGACCGTAATGGTGTCGCAAGCCTGTTCCAGTCCCTGTGCCTCCTCTTCCCGCTCCCAGCAGCCGCCCTCCCTCGGGAACCGCCCCCAGCCCTTGGCCTTGGCTACTTAAGGGAGCCAGGCCCAGCCACTGTTGTGACAGTCCTGGCACACCCCACTGGGAACACAGAATGCGGGGCTTGGCCGGGGCCCTGCCGTCCATACTGCTGGGGTTGCTGCTCACGTCCACCCCAGGGGCTCTGGGGGCCAACCCAGGCCTGGTTGCCAGGATCACCAACAAGGGCCTGGAGTATGGTAAGAAGCTGCCGCTGCTGGCTGGACCCAGGCTGCTCTGAGCGCGGCGGGGAGCGCACACCGGGACTCGCCCTCGGGTGGCGCAGCCGGCTGTCTCGGATTCCGGCCTTGTCACCCACTGGCAGAGTGACTTGGGCACGTTACTTGTGTTAGCTGGGTGTTCCGCCAGCAGACAGGGACAGAGGTTTGGATGCAAGCAGCTGATCCGGGCGACGATTCCGGGAGCACTGCAGGGGTGGGAACGTGAGAGCGAGGAGAGAAGGCGGCAGCGGCAGAGGGTGCGATTAAACCAGCCACCACCCCAGGTGGCTGGAACAATTCTGCTGGGAAAATTCTTGGTGAAGTTTAAAAACACGAGTCTTAAGTCCGAGCCGTGGTTACCCCCAGAGGCAGGTGGAGACCCGGAAGGGCATGAGGGAGACACGAGGGTGCTGGGACGTGCACCCTTGATCCCAGTGGTGGTCACGTGGGTGTACGAAAATTTTAAAATTACATACATACCTTTAAAATGAATGCCTATTAGGTACTTTATGTATGTTATTCCTCAGCTTTAAAGAATGGGTAAAAGTAGGGCTATTTTTAATAAGCCAAAACAAAGCCGCAGGGTTATACCATCCAAGTGGCAAGGGGACTGGGGTATTTCCACACCTCCGTGACTGATGGCAGGGTCCTGGGCAGGGGGACGTCAACTCCCCAGCACTTCGGTCCTGCTGCATGTGCCAACTTCCCGGAGTTCCAGGACAAAGAGGCTCAGAGAGGCAGACATCAGCAGCTGGAAGTCAGCAGTGACTCCCTGGAATATCAGGGACATGGGCGGCACCGACTGCACGTGCTGCTCACATTTCTGGACCCTGAATTGCCTTATCTGTGAAATGGCATAATAGCATTCCCTCAGGTAGGCTTGCTGGGAGTCCAGACTGGCCAGAGGCAGAGAGAGAGAGAAATCAGGGAAGGCTTCCAGGAGGAGGTGAGGTGGAGAAGACAGAGAGAATTACCCAGGGACAAGGGGCAGCATTCCAGGCAGAGGGGCCCTGGCATGTGCATTTGCTAGAGGGAAGAGAGTCAGTTGGAAAGAGGGGAAAGGGGAAGCTGTTGGCCATCTGTGTACATATGCCTGTCTTGGGAGCAGAATTCCAGGTCCCTCTTATCCCAGGACAGGCAGTGGGGCCTAGTAACCACTATTTGTGTTGAAACCCAAATCAGGAGAGTTTGTGTTTTGTTCCTTTCCACTCTGCAAACATACCGTATTTATGTACCCAATTCTCTATAGTTGGACATTTTGTTCCTTTCCACATTTTTAATACTATAAACCCTGCTTTGCTGGTCCAGGCATTCTCTGAGTGCCTGCTGTGTGCCAGGCACCAAGCTGGGAGTGCCTGGCACCCTCCCAGCCCCTTCTTGCTTTGCAGCTATGACATGACCCCCTTGACTGCTTGGGCCAACTCAGTGAGAAAGTATTGCTGTCATTGCTTTTTTTTTCTTTTTCTTTCTTTTAGAAAAAAAAAAAAAAAAAAACAACTCTGCCTGTTGCCCAGGCTGGAGTCTGGAGTACAGTGGTGCAGTCCTAGCTCGCTGCAGCCTCTAACTCCTGGGCTCAAGCGATCCCCCTACCTCAGCCTCCCAAGTAGCTGGAACTGCAGGCGCACACCACTGCACCTGGCTAATTTTATTTTTTTTTAGAGATGGGTTCTTGCTATTTGAACTCCTGGCATCAAGCGATCCTCCTGCCCCAGCCTCCTGAAGTGCTGGGATTACAGGCGTGAGCCACTGTGCCTGGCCTGTCATTGCTATCTGACAGATGAATAAAGTGAAGTTTGGTTGGTCACCCGGCTGGAAAGATGCCAAAGCCAGGATTCTAGCCCCCAAATCAATCCTCTCAGTTTCTTCTACGTTGGCCAGATACCATGGAGGACAGGAAAGACGACCACACACCCAAGCACACAGCACTCGTCCCCTTGGGGCATTGTTGGCAAAGTCATTCTGTTTGCTTATCTGTAAAATGGGTACAAACCTAACAATGCCACGTGAAATGCAGGGATGTCCCTGAGTGTTGCTCATGCTGTCTGGCATGCAGAGCGGTTGATAACCTGTCACTGTAATTTGTACGAAGAAGGATGTTGGCCTCTCTCCCCGGGGCAGGAGGTTTAGAGCAAGGGAGAAAGGTAGGTGGACCAAGCTGACTCCCAGCTTTTTCCTTTCCACAGCGGCCAGGGAGGGGCTGTTGGTTCTAGAGCAAGAGCTGCGCAAGACCACCCTGCCTGACTTCTCCAGCGACTTCAAGATCCGCCATGTTGGCAAGGGGCAATATTCGTTCTACAGGTGGGAGTCTCCTCCTGCTGGAGCCCTGAAGTGGCTGGGAGGGACAAGGGGGCTGGAGAGGGAGGAGGAGAGAGCCCCCAGGATTGGGTCAGGGAACCCTCCCTGGGGCAGACACTGGAATAATTCCTGGAGGAGTTCAGAAGGAAATTCTGGGATGGAATTAAGCTCCTCCATTCATTCATGCAGCAAATATTAACGAAGACCTACTGGCTGTGTGACCTGAGCCTCAGTTTCCTTATCTATAAGATGGGGTTAATACTGCTTCCTCCTTCAGAGGGATAATCTAAGATCCAGTCTAGCCACTGGATGTAGTCTGGAAGGAAAGATAGACCTTGAACTTTAAATACAGTAGCCCAACTGTTACAGCTGAAGTTTGCACATGGGGGAGACAGGGAGGGCTTCCCAGAGGAGGTGGCATTTGAGCCGAGTCTCAAAGAATGACCAGACTTGAGCAGCTGATGCTTTAAAAAGGTGTGAAATGCTTTTTGAGGGATGGGCAATGGAGAGAGGGCAATCAGGCCCGCAGCTCATTATGCCCCTCCCTGCTCACTTTGGGTGCTTCATTCATTCCTTTCTTCTTTTATTCAGTCCATCAGCAAACATTTATTGAGCACCTACTATGTAACAGTCAAAGAAAATGAAACTTGACCTTTCTTCGCCACTGACGGTAGACACTTTTGTGTCTTCTCTTAAGGCTGCCTCAGTCTTCCCCGAATCTAATTCTCCTACCTGGATGTATTGAAAGCGGGGAGCTTAGAAGGGGCTGCAAACCCAAAGGGGTGTGTCTGCGGGTCCTACTCAGGATGCCACCAGGGTCATGAGATTCGAGGTTCTGATCCTGCGTGTGCCACTGTGGGCAATCGCATCCCTTCTTTGAGGTCCTATTTCCCCCTCTGTGGAAAGGGGGAAGGAACAGGGCTGACCCCCTCTGTGATGCCCAAATGGCGAAGGAACGTAAAGTGCTTAGCATGGTCACGTATTTGCACAGTCGCAGGTGTTGGCCTGAGGCAGGTCCTGGTTGTCCAGTCCCCGCCGTGGCGGGGAGCGGGTGCAAAGGCGGGAGCAGGTCCCCAGTGAGGCTGGGTCCAGACCCGGGCGGACATCTCCCGCTGTGTGTCTCCCTCCAGCCTGGAAGTCCACAGCTGCGCGCTGCGCGGCTCGGCTCTGCAGCCCCTCCCGCAACACGGCCTGAGTCTGTCCATCTCCGACTCCTCCATCCGCGTCCGGGGCAGGTGGAAGGTGCGCAAGGGGTTCCTGTAAGTTGACGCTGCTCCCTGGCCATTGAGCCCTTGGCCATGGCCTCTGTGCTTTCCTTCTTGGGTGGAAGGTGTTCCTAGCTCATCAGGAAGACCACGTGGCACACAGATGGAGCCCAAGCCTGGAGGCAGCCTGGGGTTCGAGTCCTGGCTCTGGGACGAGTCCCCTTCCCTCCCTGAGTCTCCACTTCCTCATCTCCTAAGGGGGACAGCCTGCTTCCCTGGTCATGGGCGAACCAAATGCGATAACATGTGTCTCCTTGGTTTGCTGCCCGCAGAAGCAGACCCCAGGGCCAGAATTCCCGTACAAGGACTTATCTGGGCAGTGGTCTGAGGACACATCCACAGGGGCGTGGAGCGTGGCGGGGCAGGGGGTCAGCGTGGCGGGAGAGGAAAGCTCAGTCCAGCTGGGGAGCGCTGGGGGACAGCGTAGGACACGCCTCTGAGCTTGTCCAGCTCCGCTTGTTACCCTTTTTCCCTTTGCCCTTGGTCAAGAGCCACTCCCTGGGCCACTAACCCTCCGCACTTTGACAGCTGTCTGACTCGGAGGCACTGGATGGAAGGCGTGCTGGTCTGCTAGGGCTGCCGTAGCAAACAGACGGGGTGCTGAGACACGAACGTATTTTCTCACAGGTCTCGAGGCTGGAGCGCCAAGACCAAGGTTTCAGCAGCTTCTTGTCTTCTTTTTTTTTCTTTTTGAGACAGAGTCTCACTGTGTTACCCGGGCTAGAGTGCCGTGGCGTCAACCTAGCTCACAGCAACCTCAAACTCCTGGGCTCAAGCGACCCTCCTGCCTCAGCCTCCCGAGTAGCTGGGACTACAGTCATGCGCCACCATGCCCGGCTAATTTTTTATATATTTTTTTTTAGTCGTCCAGCTAATTTCTTTCTATTTTTTTAGTAGACACAGGGTCTCGCTCTTGCTCAGGCTGGTCTCGAACTCCTGAGCTCAAACGATCCTCCCGCCTCGGCCTCCCAGAGTGCTAGGGTTACAGGCGTGAGCCACCGCACCCGGCAGCTTCATGTCTTCTGAGGCCCCTCCTTGGCTTGAAAGTGGCTTCACTCTTGCCATGTCCTCACGTGGTCTTTCTTCTGCGCTCTGGAACCCTCTGAGAGACCTCCTCATGTCCTAATCTCCTCCTCGTATAAGGACACCAGTCAGAATGGATTAGGGTCCACCCTAATGGGCTCATTTTAATTTAATCATCTCTTTGAAGGGCCTATTCCCAGTACAGTCACATTCCGAGGTACTGGGGGCTAGGGCTTCAACATACGAATTTCGCTGGGGAGGGGTGGTGACAATTCAGCCCATAACAGAACGATTGGCAATCTCTGCTGAGTGACCCGACCACATTTACACTTTAGACCTGCACTGTCCAATACAATAGCCGCTAGCCACATGTCTTTCCCGGTGCAAGTCGAGACCTATTGTAAGTATGAAACACTGGATTGGAAGATGTAGTACCAAAAAAGATATAAATCTCATTAACAATTTTGACATTGATTCCATATTGAAGTGATTATATATTATTAAAATTAATTTCAGCTCTTTCTTTTTGCCTTTTAATGTGG